TGAATCTATACAGATAGACTAGACTAGCTTGAGTCTATACAGATAGACTTATCTGTACTGCAGCAAAAATGAAAAATCACAATGTTAAGATGTACTAAACAGCCTTGGAATCTCTTCATATCCCTAAAGCAAAAGCTGGTACCAAATGAAAAAAAAAAAAAATTAAAACTATCTTACTACTTGTTGGCACCTTTAAGTAGCAAACCAGTTTTCCTTCAGAAAAAAAAGAAGAGTTTAATTATTTTGGAATTTAAGCATGTTCTCTAAATTACTACTCTAATATCTCAAGCAGGACATGTATCAAAGAGTTACCAAATAATTTGGAATACCTCTTCTGCTATAGCAGACAGTAATCCTTTCAGAGAACTCTAGCCAACAGCAATATTAAAAGATAAAGATGATGTCAAGTATAAACAAGGTTCCACAAGCAATATCTACATAACACAGGAACTGAAAGATTACAGGTCTCCCTACTGCTTTATTTTGCCATTTGAACTCCCCTGATGACCCTGACACTTCCTGCTGACACGGGTCTCACTTTCACAATGATTCTGCTGTCACACCTTTGTGTCTCCACACTTCTTGCCCCTAACACAGCACTGATGATGACTTTGTTAGGAAAAAGCTGCATTCACTCAAGCCAAGAAGAAGCCAAACTCTATTGAGAAAAAAATTTTGCATTTTAATTTAAAGTTAGTCAGCCAAATTAAGGGACAAAGGACAGTTAATATGGACCATAGCCTGCTGACTTGCATTAAAGATACAAAATGTTTTCTTTTACTGAGATGTGGGAAAAATTTTCTTGACAATTGGCCTTTCCTTGTGATGAAGATATACACTGCTTAGAATAAGCATGTTGTCATAAAGCTATTCCAAGGTGAAATAAATATCTTCGTTTGTCCTCTCTTGGCACACACAGGAAATCAGATTAAAATCTGATTCAACACACCTTTTGCACCACCACATCTGGAGGTGCCAATGAACTCTTACTATGGAAGCACTGGACTTTTTACAATTTGTTTTAGCACTACTGTAGTTAGTCTTAATCAGGGACCTGTGAGCAGGACTCATGCAAATATACAAGACAGAACTTGTCCTGAACTACTTTCACTGCAAATGCTATCACTTATATCTTTCATAAATATTAATAAATATCATTTATTCATACTACTAGAAGGCCTGTCTGAGTCAATACCCTGCAAATATCCGAATCAGTAAAACATAAATCTTAGGAAGACTGAGAAAAGGCAAATGGTAAACCTAAACACAGGAAAGAACATACTTTAAATACATATAGAAGACTATATTGTCCACCTTTCCTGAGATCAAACAGCTTTCCTCACTTTCTTTTACAAATCACCCAAGAGTTGCAACGTCCTTCAACAAAAAAAAAAAAAAAAAAAAAAGAACCATCCAATACAAAAACTCCAAAACCAATTCCAACAGTTAAACACAATTCAATATCTGTGCTTCATTTTTCACTCTGATCTTAAACTCCTATATTCACAGACTGAATCCAAAGTTTTCTTAAGCTGAACGCTCTCTAACAAAGAACTTGATTGTCAACAGACAACAGAAGATGCTGCACTGAAGAACTGATCAAAAGAAGTGCCCAAGATAAAGACAAATAAAAAGAAATTATGCAAGAATTCAAGAACCCTTAAGAAATTAATTCACTGGAAATCTTTATGGAGGTAAATTTTGATTTTACAATTAAAATTTATTTTCTCCTCACACTTTTCCCACTCATATAACTAAATTAATTAAGTAATTAAAATTAAGAAAAGAAGCAGGTTTACCATGTATTATGAGAGAACTGTCAGGAGTGTTCTTCATTTGAACCAAATCAAACTGAAGGCAAGCAAAGCATTGGTATCTACCCCTTTTTATTAAAAATCTAACCTACATTACAGCCTACACAGCTAAAACCAGCATAAAATCTATGTCAGGCACAGAAAGAATACATGCTAGCATGTATTCCAATTGTGACAGAAACATATTTATTGTAACAGAAACATATTTATTATAGCTGTTTGGTTTTTTAAATCAGCATGAATTCTACGATATTCCTTGAGCATGAGCAGGGAATTATTCCTACCTGTTTCCTACTCCTGCAACAAAGGTATGAATGATGTAGCAACTTCTTGTACTGACCTGACAAAAAAGCATCTCCAGCAAATGAGGTAAGACAAAAGGCAAACTTTGAATATCATCACAGCACTGAAATGGTTGTAATTACAGATGCTGATCAGTGGGAGCTGCTATACTTTGTTACTGCATCAACAAAAATCTACCTTTGGAGTAACAAAATTAATTCCTTAAACCCCCTCAGGAACCTCTGTTACACATGCTGCACAGATCACAGCAACTCTTTAAAATATGTAACACTATTTTAAGAATTTTAAACAACCAATCCTATGTGGAAGATAAGTACTGTTTAACTGAAAGAAGGAAATATCTGGGAAAGCTCAACTTAATGCCCGAATTCCCAAGTCTCTGGGAATTCCCCGTCTCCTTATTCTCATGATCTGTGTTCATTTTTAGGAAAATTTTCCGTCCTGTTTGAACATATTTCATGAATTTCAGATAAAGAATTACCACTGCACGGTTCAATGAAACAAGGACTCTTCAAAGGGTCCTGTGTGAAGTCTTTGTCTTGGCTGAGAAAAGCAATTGGGCTCCTGGCCAGACCCAGCCAAGTTTTGGGGATTCAGGCTTGGCTCTTTGCCTCAGGCAAGTATCCCGACTATCAGATTCCCAAATGTTTCAAGAACAAATCTGTGCTTCTAAGTGCTGGGTTGGGCTGGCCTGGTGGTTTTTTTGTTTCTTTTTCTTTTTAACCAGAAATTCTTTTTGGAAGATGAAAAGACCTTCACAGCCAGACTTTCTCAATAACTTCCACAACCCACTTAAATGCTTCCATTAAAAGGAAATTAGGAGAGATTAACGTTTCTTGATTAACACTGTTTCCCATTAATTCCTCGATCCAGCTCTGAGACAGTGTATTAGAAGAACAGGGAAAAAGCTGCCCTTGGTATCAGCATTCAGTTCTCAGTCTCCAGGTCACTTCAGGGTTAAGTGCAGGTAAAATGTTTGGCTTTGATATCCACTTGATAGTGTAAGTTTGAGAAGGGGCTTGAGACTTTCTGTTGTAAGAAAGTGGAGAGAATTATTTGCTTATATCTCAAAATAAATCATGACTAAGGCATTCAGCTTGTTAGTTTGTTGGTATTCACAATGGTTAACCAACACCCTCTATGACTCAATGCCATTATTAAACTGATAACTGCATTAACAGATAAAAAGTCAATGGACAGCACTCAGACATTCCAGCGCCTGTGAAATTATTACCAGTGTCATGAGCCAGCATTCCTGCCCAATGTAGCAGATTTTCTTCCTCACTCCCACAACCCTGGGCTGCTTCCTCCCTGCGATAAAGCAAGAATCTATGTGACTGCATGTGGAAATGATCAAGATTAAAACTAACCCAGCAGAAGAAAAATAAATGGTTTTCACTCAGAAGAGTTTCCATTTTAGCTTGCTGTCTGGCCAAATTAACACCTCTACCAGCTGATAGCCAGGGGCACCTTTGTTTCCTTAAGAAAAAGTGGATTAAAGGGACTGTGAAACAAAGAGCTCAGAATTTCACATACTTTGACAGTGTCTCACATGTCCTTTAAAGCCACAGACTGTGCCAGTCTCTACAGTGACTTCTACAGACTTCTGTCAAGAAAAGCCCCAAAGCAGACACAAGCCAGAAACCAAACACCGCAGCAAATACCAAATGCTCAGTGTAGTTTCTATACCTCTCCTTAAAATTACACAGCTAGAGACACCAGAGTAAATACTGAAAATGTAATACACCTCCTTCTGTGCTTAACACATATAACTGGAAGGAAGCTATCAAGAGCACCGTGCCCACTCTTAATCCAAAAATGCAAGCTACATTGTTTTCTGCTTAGATCACCTCCCCTCAAACTTAATGGCCCAGTGAACTGCTGGCAACCCTTGCACTGAAACTTATTAAGTCCTGTAACTGTTACTATTTAATAGTGGGATGTGAACCCAAGGCAGAACTTTTCCTTTGTGTGTTATTGATGGAGAGACACTGAATAAGGCCCACAAAATTCAGATTTCTATTTTGCAGACACTGAGTTGCTGTTTTTGTTTGTTTGGTTTTGTTTGGTTTTGGTTTTTGTTTTGTTTTTAACAGCCGAAGCTTAACTGACAGTAGATGCATCTGAGTTACCATTCACAGACTCCCCTGGGAATTGTTTGGTCCCTGGCAAACACCCTAAAACCCATGAAACAAATTTTCATACAAACATTCTCTTCCTTTAGTCCTGAACATCACTTAACATAGCAACACCAGGACCAAAGGTGGATCCCAAACATTCTGGCGTGTGTTATGAAGGAATATGTGCCTGTTAGTGGCAGCCAAGGTCTGGGGTGAAGGGACGCAGGGTGAGCAGGGCAGAGGCTGCTCAGGCACATCCTCGTTCCCCGGGACGGCCACCCCCGGAGAAGGGAGGATGACTTCCCCCCTGAAGCCTGACACCAGCCCTGCACTTGACATCCACTTCAGCACGGCCGCTTAGTCGTGGAATATTTTTCCTCCGCTCTTTCCCTCCTCCCCTAAAAATCAGGGACACCCAGGGCTTGAGCCAGGAGTATCCCCGGGAGTATCCCGGGTACCCCGAACACCCGCGGCGCCGCTTCGGACGCTCCTCTCCGTCCGGCCGTTCCCGGGGGCTCGGCGCCCGCACTCACCCCTTGTAGTAGGCTTTCACCCGGACCTGGTGGGCGCCGTCCCCGCCGAGGCTGCTCCCGAGGCCGCCCGGAGCCGACATGGTGCTCCCGGCGCCGCCGTCCCGCTGCGTCGGCATCGCCCCTCAGCCGGGCCGGGGCAGCCGCAGGCTCGGAGCGGGCCGGGGCGGCGGCTGCGCGACCCCCGCGCCTCCAGCGCGCCCCGCCCGCGCCGGGCGGCACCACGCAGCAGCGCGGGCGGGAGGGGCCGGCGCAGAAGCGGTGCCGAGAGGGAGCGCGGAGCTGCGCCAGGCGGCGCGGGAGGGCAGCGCAGGATTTCCCCCGGCGAGGCGGAGCAGCCGCCCCGAGAGCGGCCGGGCGGCAGCTCCGCCGCCCCGGGATGCTGGTGGCAGTCCCGGGCGTGTCCCCCTGCGCTCTACATGGGCTCTCTCCGACGGGACTCCGCACCTGTGGAGCGGGATGCTCCACGCCGCATCGGAGGGGGGGCAGCGGCGCCGGCGGCACCCAGGTAACCGGCAGCCCCGTAGCGGAGCCGCCGCAGCGGCCGCTCCCGGTTAGACGGGTGCGAGAGCGCACGCAGGTCCCTCCGCTCCCGCGGCCCCCTCGGGAACGGGGGCGACACCGCGGCGTATGTCACTGCCGCACCCACAGTTGGTACGGCCCAGCGCGGAGCATGGCGGGGCTGCGGGCGGCGCCGGCGCGGCGGGAGCGGAGCGGGGTCCGGGCTGTGGGACGCCTCAGCCGCGGGTGACTGCCGCGATGGGGAGCCAAGGAGGAAAACTTGTTCTACCCAAGTACCGATGGGGATGATTCTCCAGCTCGTACTGAGCGCCTGCCGTGCTGCGGTCCTGCTCTGAGGTCTGGTCCATCCTCAGAAGGACGTGTTGCTGCTGCAGCGAATCCAGAGGAGGCAGAGGAGAGGCCCAAGAATCGGAGCTCTGCTCCGGAGACCGGCTGAGAGGTTGTTCAGCCTAGAGGCAACAAGGCTCCAGGGAAACCTTAGAGCCCTCTCCAGTGCCTAAAGGTATCTCCAAGAGAGCCGGCGAAGGATTTGGACAAGGGCATGGAGTGACAGGACAAGAAAGAATGGCTTTAAATTTAAAGAGAGAACAGTTAGATTAGATGTTACGAAGAAATTCTTCCCTGTGACGGTGATGAGGCCCTGACACACATTACCCAGAGAGGCTGTGGCTGCCCCATGCCTGGAAATGTCCCAGACTCACCAGGTTGGACGGGACTTGGAGCAGCCTGGGCGAGTGGAAGGTGCCCCTGCCTATGGCAAGGGGTTGGAAGTGGATGGCATCTGTAGCCCTTCCAGTCCCACCCATTCTGCAATTGTCCTTGTTCTAAGGCTGAAAGAACCAGAGATGCCCATAGTGGTAGTTCTTAGGAAGCAGATGCTGTCCACCCATGGACCAGGCTCTGCACCTGAGCTGTTACATAAACCGAACCCATCCCAGCATTAGGAAAAACAGCACCAGACACATCTAACTATGCGCCTTGGCAATCTGTTCACACCATGACTCCTCCACTGTTGTTGTCACTGCCAACCCAATATGGGAGGTGACAGAAAATTCAGGATTTTAGCACAAATCCACGGCAAAAGCAGCACACTGCCCTGTAGCAGCCAGCACAGGAGCTGTTCAGAGGCAATGGCAATGCGTTCCTTACAAAGACTGCTGACCAAAGGGTTTTCTGTGGGAATTCTGAAGACTTCCTGCAATGTGCACTGCCCACAATGTGTTAATTTCAGGCGAAGCTTTAATTCCCTTTTATCAAATGGCTGAGATATTTTTAAAGAAAATAACATGAAGGATGTGTTTCAACTAGGGATGAAGCAGGGTGGTTAAAAAAAGGTATTTTATTAAAGCTACAAATTATAAGCCACCTTATCACTGCAAGCAGTATTTGCTCTCAGCTTTGCCTTTTTAACATCAATAGCTTTTTTGACAATCCACATTTGCTGCCCAGGACTTCCTGAACAGATTGATCTTTGAAAATGAGAACCTTTGGTTTTTTCAATTCTGGTAAAACAATTCCTTTTCCCCACTGCCTCCTCCAGTCAGCATCACATCTGGGTGTTTGTATTGGAGCATCATGGAGTGCAGCTTTTTGTTACATGAGGTCTGCACTTTCCAATCAACACACTTGGTTCTTCCTCCCGGTCATGATACAACAACTTAAAGCCTTATTTGCTGTTTACTTTGATTATGGTTACAAAGTACCAATTTTTTGCCATGCTACCTGACTCTCCTACAGTGGTTGGCATTTTTTTAAGCCAGAAACAAGTTATTTGCTCCACCAGCATCCACAGTCTTAGATCCCCTTTGTACAACAGGATCTACCATAGTGTATCTGAACTCACCCTTATATTGACCAAGACTTCTAAGATGTTTTCTTTTTCCTAGAGGATTTCAAGAGTATTTAAAAATGGGTCATCATTTTCCCTACACCTTTATTTTTGACAAATGAAAATTCCCATTTTCTCCTGCTGAATTATGTCATATTTTATAGAAAGGTCATTAGACCTGTGGAATTGTCACTGCTTGTCACAGGCATCTCACCTGGGCTCAGTGCAACTGTTCCACCTGTCAACAGTTTAAGGTCATCTCTAATGCCTTGGCAGGTATTTGAGTTTTGTTAGACACTTGCTGAGTCTCTTTTCTTTGCAAAGAACTTAGCTATCCCAACTAGCTGTTAGGTATCTGGCAATATCCCCCCTCTTCTTAGAACCAAAGAATCATTTAGGCTGGAAAAGACCTCCAAGATCATTGAGTTCCAAATTTTGACCAATCCCCACCTCAACCAGAACAGAGCACTGAATGTCACGTCCAGTTGTTCCTTGAACACCTCCAGGGATGGGGACTCCACCACCTCTCTGTGTAGTCTCCATCAAAGGGCCTTCCATTCCAAATGGAATTCCAGAAGTCCATTCCAGGATTCCCCAGTGTGGCCCTCACATCCCTGACCCTTCCATGGGGATCCCCCAGCCTGGCTTCTGTGGTGATGCCCTAAGAAATATCAGGATCATCTAGTCCAACTTTTATCCCTCCACAGAACATCTCCGAGAACCACACCATGTGTGTGCCTGAATGCATTGTCCGGACACTTTCTGAACTCTCAGGTGTGGGAGTCACAGAGGATTTAGCCTGAAGGCACCTCCCAAAGTCATCCAAATACAGACTTCTTGTATTTACAGTACAAAGATTTGTATGTATCAGGTGCTAAAACAAAGCATGATGCAAGAGAGACCTGGGGTAATTAACACATATTCACACAGTGCTTTGAGCTGGTGAGTGGCAGCCAGCAGAGCCTCAGAAAGGAAAGCTCACTTGATTAGTATGGATGTACTGCTGGTAAATGTCGGAGTCTCTTGAAGGAGGTTCGCTGTTTTGTTGCACACAGAAGGTCATTCGGGCTGAAAACACCGCACATTCCACCGCCCCGGCCCCGCCGCGGATCTCCCTCAGCCGCGGCCCCTCACCAACATGGCGGCGGGCCCCGTCACGTGCGCGGCGGCGGCCGCGCCCCGCGCGCGCGCGGCACCTCCCCCGTGAGGGAGGCGAGAAAATGGCGGCGGCGGCAGCGGCGGCGCCCTGAGCGGCGCGTCCCAGGCGAGTGTCCCGGAGGGGCGCGCGGAGCGCGGGCAGCGGCCGCCGCGGGGCCCCGGCCGGGCCGCGGGGGCGGGGAAGCCGCGCCCTGACCGCGCCCCGCCGCCGGCCCCTCCCGCCCGCCCGCCTGCCTTTGCTCTCCTGAGGGGGCGGTGGCGGGGCCGGGCTGGGCGAGGCGGGGGTGAGGGTGAGGGTGGGGCAGCCCGGCCTGGGCGGGCGGGGGGCGGCCGGTGAGGGGCGAGCGGGGCCCCTCAGCGCGGGCCCGGTGCTCCGCATGCCGTGGGGTGTATTCCCACAGAGCACACCTCCGTTGTTATCATTATTTCTTATTTATTATTATTTCTGACCTCTCTCTCTCAAATACCGGAATGCCTGTAGGGGTTAGGCTTGGAAGAAATTTTTATTTAGTTTGGTTTTTTTGTTTGTTTGTTTTTTTTTGTTTGTTTTTTTTTTTGTGGTTTGGAGTTGCGGGCAGAGGTTGTGAATTGGAAAAAAAAAAAAAAAAAGAATAAACCATATGGTTGTGGATGGTTGTGGTTATGGGTTGTCAGCAGGGTTTGTTATTACCATGGCATTTACTGAAACTTTCCAAAACATGAATAATGACATTCGTATGTCCACTGTAAGGGTTTGTTAATTGGTATAGAACATCAGGTTTTTGGTTTTTTTTACTTCAGGTTGTTGCTTTGACCAAGAAAATATAACAAAACAAAACTTTGGAATATTTACCTTATGCACAATGTAACTTGAAGTTGTATGGTGTCTTGTACTGTTACTGCTTGAATAAATACGTATTTTCAATAGAGATTTCTGTTGTGCTTTGTATTTTGAGCTCACTTAAATGTGTAGTGGTTGTTTCAAATCAGTGTGTTTTCTAAAACTTACTTTGAGTTATGGAGATTGGTTTGAATTAACATTGTTCAGGGAGCATCATTGCAAGGTCTTCATCATTTATCAAAATTAATTTTCTTACAAGGTAGCATCTGATGCCTGCACAAGGTGTGGTGTCAGAGGAGAGATGGAGATGAGCAAAAATTCAGGAGCTTCTTACTGTACATCCTTTTTTCATTGTATGTCCTTTGTGAGAACAACCTGCACAATGACAATACTATTTTTGAAATAATTTTGAGCGAAAGGATTAACAGCTCTCATGGAGTAAACTTGTGATGGATTAGTTATTAAGTGGGATATGTTACACATCTCGCTTATAACACACCAAAACCGTGGCTGAGTATTAAGGAAATGAGGCATGTATCAAGCTAATTTAACTGGTTGTATAACTCTGCAAAAACTAGCTAGACAAGTTGTAAGTATTTTGAGGTGCTGTTAATGTCCACTGAAGGAGACAGGATTTTTTTTAAGATACTTTTCATTATGTGAAAGTAATGTAAAGTGGTTTGAGAAATGATGCTGGGTTTATTGCAGTTGGAGTGGGAACCCAAGTGTGTTAACTTGTGCCCTGATGTAGGTATACAAATGTCATCAGTAATGCACAACAGACCTGCATTTTTAACAACAAATCATATTTTTTCTTCAGTTCTAGTAGCAGGGATCTCTGGCGTTCAAAGCGTCCTTGATTGCCAGAAATTTTCTTTCATGACAAAGTCCATGCAAGTGTCCAATACAAGAGTAGGCAAGAGGTCTTTAGGTGACCATGTGGGTGTTAGAGTTGAGCTGTTGCAGGTCTCCAGGAGCTGCAGCACCATGTGCAGCCCTCTGCTTGCAGAGCAGTTGTGTTTTGGGAGGTGAGGGTGGCAGCCTGGCAGTGTCCTGCTCTGCTTCCAGCTGTGTGAGTTGAACTCCTGATTATATTCCCATTTGATGCAGCGTCCAATGGGCGGTTTGTTAAGAACTTGGCAAAGCTGCTTTTTTTTGAGTACATTGCAGCTCTCTCTGATTATTTCTCTGAGCCCCTCTTTATGGTAAGGAAGAAACACATCTTCTCAACCCTCCCTTTTTTTGGCATCCTTTGGAGAGCAATAAACAGCTACTATGTGATTTCCTTTTAATCATAATACAAAGACTGAAAAAGAAACTGCAGTAAACACCCCCATAACATACATTGAGGTTTGTAAAGATGACATTTTGTGCTCTGCAACAGAGGGAAGCCACATAAGACTGGGGAGTATCATTTGAGGTGCTTAAATAGGTAGTTTTTTCTTCGGTTCTTGCTGTATTGTGTGAGGTACTGCTGTTAGAAGGATTTTTTCCTGTATCCTTTCCCTGTCTCTCCAAACAGAGCATTTCACTGGTAATTTTTGCCAGCAGCAGGTTTTGCTCAGTGTCCAGGGTCAGCCAGCATTTTCAGTCCTGGGCTGTGGGGGTGAGGGAGGTGCTACTGGTTCTGTGTAGTTGGCTGGAAATCTTGGATGTATTCCTAAATTAGTTCTTTATTGCTACTTTTCATGGATCTTAGAAGATTATCACTACATCTCTCAAGAGATTGCATCAAGTAATAGCAAATTCTACAAACTAAGATTACAGAATCACAAAATAAGGAGGTTGGAAGAGACCTCTAAGATCAGCCAGTCCAACCTATGCCCTAACACCTCAACTAGACTATAGCACCATTAGTTATTAAGCAGGAATTCTATAGGGTTGGTGAGGCCCTGTGGAGGTTGCCCATAGAGGTTATGGCTGCCCCATCTCTGCAAGTGTTCAAGGCTAGGTTGGATGGGGCTTGAAGCAACCTGGTGTATTGAAAGGTGACCCTGCCACGGCAGCGGGTGGGACAAGATGGTCTGTAAGGTCCCTCTGACCCAAACCATTCCGTGATTCTGTGTAACTTACCTTTTGAAAATCATCCATTTTTCTGTCTCAGCAAAACATTCTTTTGCATTAACATCAGATGTTCTGGCCTTGTTTGTGAACCGCTTCTGTGTCACTCCTGCCAGGCTGGACAAACGCTGCACAGCTATGGAGAATGAACCCAACACAACGACATGTTCTGCATCCAGCACGACCGTCACCAGCACTTCCACTTCCCGCACGCCGCTGCCGCAGATCTCCGTCTACAGCGGCTCTGACAGACATGCTGTCCAGGTACTGGGCTCTGGGGCTTCCTCCCTGTCCTGCACAGAGCTCTGAACACAGGCACTGTGCAGTACTTCCCACAGCATTAACTGTCCATTCTTCAGTGCTGTTGTCTTTCTCAATAGCTGCCTTGCTGGTTTTCAGGAGATGTTTACTGGATGGTCTCGGAGCACTTAAGGATAGTTCAGGGTAGGCCTGTATCCCAAATAAGAGAGGGGGAAATGCTGTGATAGGAAGTTTGGTTTGTTCACCATTTGCTGAAGGTGCAGATTATTAACATACACTTTTGCAAAATACAGCTTTTTGTTTGACCAACTTTGACTAGAGGGATCCTAAGTATTTGTGTGGGTAGGTCCTGCTTGGGATCCAGCCCCCTCTTGCTGTTCTTTAAATTAGGTCTCCTTGAACTCTGTACACGCCATTCTGTTGTGTTTGATAATTGGGTTTCTCACACACTACTCTGATCTCTCAAAAAGCAGAAGATGATGTAGGATGTGTTGACAAGCAGCTGAGAGGCTGGGATGATGTGTTGGGGATGATGCTGTATTGTCAGGCTGTCCTTGAGAATGTGAATATATTGATGTTGACAATACTCTGTGACTTGGTCAAGAACAGTGAGGGGGCAAGTTCAGTATGACATAATTGGCGTGAAAAAATTTATTTGGCTTTATTTCCTTGTAAGGGTAAATTTAAATATCATGTCAGCATGGTGCGTGCTTTGTAATTGTAATTAATTACCTACTGATTCATCACAGGTTATTCAGCAGGCCTTGCATCGTCCTCCTAGCTCAGCTGCTCAGTACCTCCAGCAGATGTATGCAGCCCAACAGCAGCATTTAATGCTGCAGACTGCTGCTCTGCAGCAGCAGCACTTAAGCAGTACCCAATTTCAGAGTCTGGCAACTGTTCCACAGGTGAGAGTGAAGATTGCTGAAAAAGAATCATGAATTGTCCAGAGCAGGGCTACAGTCATTGTCAAATGTAAAAACAGCTTAAGTGCCTGAGCTTAATGCCTCATGATAATTCACTGTTATATTTTAATGATGTTGTTGTTTTAAGTTGTATCATCCTCCAAACTGTTTGGAGGATTTTGTTCAGTGGTATAGATGCTCCAGTAGGCAACCATTCCATGCTTTATTGCATACATTATAATGCATCATGTAAACCATCAAGCAGTAATAAAATTATTATTAAAAATAGACAACTTCAATCTTCATCCCATGATTTTCTCTAAAAGTTGGTGGGGGAAGCAATGAATGGCATTGTATCTTAGTGAAACAAAAAATAATAAACATCTGGCATCTTAGTGTGTTTTGCCTCACATCTGGCTGCATTATAAGTAATGGCAAAATTAGATTTTAACCCTGAGTGTGAAAATGTAGGAGGTAAATGACATTTCATATATGAAACACAGCTTTTAACATCAGTGATCACTGGAGGAGACCCATTTTGAATTAAAGCAGTGGCAAGATATCCTTTGACCTCAGTTTGCCTTGGATTGAGAATAAGGTCTTGAAGAGAGAGGTGGTTGTTAATGATTTTACACAGGGAAATGTTAAATGGTGTTATGGACCTCAGGGATATGGCTGTTTGGTGTCAGAACTGACTCATTTTTGCTCCTGGCTTTTTCTTCTATACCTTTTTTTTATTAGATTGTGGTAATATTTCTGTGGTAATTTTTTTTTGTTGTGATGGATTTCTATGTGGATATGCAGTAACTGAAACAGAGCAAAGAAAATCAGGTTGGGAAAGGCTGAGAAGTTTTGGTTCTGTTCATACAGAAGCCTAAATCACTGTCCCTGATATTCATTTTAAGGGCTGGAATAGCATCCTGTGACACACACTTGATGTGCATACATAAGTTACCATTCCAGAATATGAGGCTGCTCTGTACAGCATTTATATTTTTTAGAAGATTCTAATCACAAGAAAATTATTACATGAGTTTTAATAATGACAGTTTTTTATGATAGTGCATTTTAAGTTCTGAGCACCACAGGTGGTGACGTGATCTCTTAGCTCCATCATTAGCAGTTTGGCAGACTTTACCTCTGATCATTTTTCTTCAGGTCTTGATCTGAAAGAATTACATGCCTGAAATTTGGTAGGACTTCAAGGAACTTAGCAACTTGCAGATAGCATTCCATAGTGCAGAGTGCACTTTGCTGAAAACTATTTCCACTGAATAAAGCACCTTACTGTTAGCTCAGAGAAAGGTAAAGGTAGAGAGAGCTGTTTCTGATGGTTTGTGCAATAAAATGAACATCACTTAAGCACTTTCTGATTTCACTATTTGACACATATTCTTGCTATTTAGGCAAGCCTGTCAGGTGGGAGGCAATGTACTTCCCCCACTGGGAGTGTCACTCAGCAGTCAAGCATGTCGCAGACCTCGGTACGTAACTGCACCAAGCCCTCCCTCCATTCCCAACCCTGCTTGGTTGTTATATGGCTACAGGGAAAACCAGAAAATATTAACAGCATTTCAGTTTGTATTGTTAAAATTAATACTACAGACACAGTGAGCAGTATGATGACTCTGTAGTAAGTGCTGGATGCCATCTGTGATTGTTGGTGGCCAGTGTTGGCTTCCCAATTCCCAGACCCCTCATGATGCTCTGAGGGGCAGCTGCTCACTCCACAAGCACCAGTGGCTGTTCAAACTCCTGCAGAAATCACTCCCTGAGCTCTCATCTCTACATGATTTCGTACTGGATTTTCTACCTTAGTTTCTTTATTCAGGGCACTACTGTAGGTGAAAATCATAACTATGTATCAGGGATTAAATAGCACAAAATCTAAAGAATCCAAGTCAATGCTCACATATTTATGAAACTGATTAAATGTCTATAGCATTCATTCTTTTATTGATTATCATCTTTTATCATTCATCTTTTTTGCAGTTTCACTTCCCATATGCTAGGCATGTGCTCTGATTTCAGTTATGAGCAGCTCTATGTTCAGTTCATGCTGTATTCCTTTAAGTGCCATTGTCAGACATGCACAGTATCTTCTGTACAGTTTTACGGCTGTCTGAAGTAGGATTTGTTAGTCCTGCAGACATCCTGCTTATTAATCATACCCTCAAGCTGTTCATGACTCCAGTGCATAGCTTCAGTGATTTAACTGTGTATTTTTTTGAGCTCTCATAGCTTGGCTTGGCTTACAGTTGTTAAAAGTAAAAGCATTTATTCATTAAATTTCAGAGGGAAATTCTATTAAGATGTCTGATGTTAAACTAACAAAATAATTGGGCTGGGGTTTTTCAAGGAAATCCTTTAAGTAAGTGATGAAAAAGAGCTGGGCACTTAACTCTGTTAGACTGGTTAGAGAAAAAAAGAAAAAGCAAAGACACAACAGCTTCTTTTTTAAAGAAGATGCTAAAGAGTGGTTCTTGAGCATTTAATGTGAAATTGGAAAAAGTCTTGGTCTTCAGTAGTTTTTCAGTGTGTGTATGTGAAATGAGGATTGAAAATCCGTAAGTAGGGGCACAAAGAAGCGTCCTGATCAGGTTGCATAGTAGACGATACCAGTCAAGGCAGTTAATATAAACATTTAAAGGTCTTAAATTTAAACTTCAGGTGTTTTTTCTTAAAATATTGAAATCTCATTCTACATATTCAGTAAATGTTTATTTCTATGAGACATATTTTTCAGACTTCATATCATTGTTTATACTCGTAACTGATTATTATTAGTTACTGCAAAGTCGTTGCTTGCAGTTTAAGAATAAAAATGTACAATCTTGCCAGAATCCAATTTTGTGATGATTGGCTCAATATATTTTTGATATCTTCACAGTCCAGATATTCCAACTGCCCCTGCCATTTTTGTCGAGGGCTTTCTGGCTTTAGACTCTAGGGTGATGGAATTTCCATGACAGAAGCAATGTTTTTGTTTCCTTAGATTAACCTCTCCACCTCTCCTACACCTGCACAGATAATAAGCCGTTCTCAGACCTCCAACACCACCAGCAGCAGCATCACCCAACAGACGATGTTGCTGGGCAGCACCTCTCCCACCCTGAGTGCCAGCCAGGCTCAAATGTATCTACGAGCTCAGATGGTAAGTTTTGATTACAGTCCCTGCCAAGTTTGGCTTTGGTCTCTCCCTGTTGGAAGATCTAAGCTCTCTTTCTTGAATATAGTAGATATTGGGCTGCTCTGTTGTCTTTTTTTTTTTCCTCACTAATTTGTAGTATTGAAGGGAAAGTCTTCTTATGTGCTTGTATAAAAGTTCATAGCTGTGTTTTTCTACCTCAAAGATTTTTCTCAACATGCAGAACCAATATAATATTTGGTTTACATTATTCTCTTTTGTTTTCTTCGTTTCTATTCTCTATAATTTTCTTTACTAAAATTACCATGATAAATAGTTCTTTAAATAAATTAATCTAAAAGTAATAAAGTAAATCTTAGAAGCTGTACATCAATATGTGTAAGTATGGTATCTCTTTAAGATACTGCATTTCCTTCACAGATAGTAAAAATTTTCAGTCTGTTACCATGTATTTTTTTTTTCTTGCTTAACAGCTTATTTTTACTCCTGCGACCACTGTGGCTGCTGTCCAGTCTGACATTCCTGTAGTCTCCTCATCCTCCTCATCTTCCTGTCAGTCTGCAGCTACTCAGGTGAGCTTGTCTAAACTTACTGGAGGTCTGCCCTGTTGAGTGGGACAAAAATGAAAAGTAAGGAAATGTTGTGCTTTGGTTTTTCTTGCGTTACTGTCACCCCAGACCAGAAAGCAGATGAGCTGCTGGGGTGGCTCTGCCGAACTCCAGCTGAGTCACCTTACCTGTGAAGGTGTGCTGAAGGATTTGTCCTCACTGGGGCAGGATGGCAGTAAATGCATTCTGCATTCCAGTGAGGAAACAAGAACAATTGTATGGGTTTGAATGTGCCCTGTGGTGACACACAGAGCAGTGAGAAGTGAAATGTAAACTGCCTGTTCATTACACAGGTACTAACTGTTGAGTGTGTATAGTATTATGTAATCAAAATAGGGAATGGTGATAATAATTAGCCCTCTTTTTCATGTAAAAAATGATGTAAATTAGTGCTACAAGGGTAGGCATTATCCTTGAAAATGAAATTTTCATTAGGATTGGAGATCTGGGGTAGTTATGTGCAGAATCTGGGTGTGCTAACAGACTTCAGTGAAAATGATCCCTGACTGATGTACATTTCAGAAAGTAAACCTTTTGTTTCATGTTATACTGGTGGTGTCATGATGAGAAGGGAGGTTAATATTGGTTAATTTGGAGGTTCATATAGAAACAAAGGTCTCAGTTTAGTTAGGCTGTAGATAATAGAGAAGACTCCGGTCCCAGTGACCACCCAAGGCTCTGGTTTATGGTGGTGTCTGGAAGCTCACTCACAAACCACTGCACTTCTGCAGTGTCTGTGAAAGTAAAATTGCCTTTGCTTAAGATGTCTTGTGTCACTTACTTTGAAGGCACAATAAAAGAGAAAAATAAAAGTTTTAATTCAAATTAATTAACAATTTTCACTTCTTTTAAAAGTCCAATAAGGGAAAAAAGACTTCTGTATTTATCACTAAAGTAATAAAGATCTCTATCTTTCTCTAAATGTTATGGCTTTAAAGATACTTTGATATGCAGATTTTTAGCTTCTTGTGATCACATGGGATGAGAAGCATTACAAAATGTAATTTTTTTCGCTGTTTTTGTCTGATATGTATCATAGCTATTTATAGAGTTTGAGTCTTTTCATGTTTTGCCCATTTCCCAGGTTCAGAACTTGACGTTGCGCAGTCAGAAGCTGGGTGTGTTGTCAAGTTCACAGAATGGCCCACCAAAGAGCAGCAGTCAAACTCAGTCCCTGTGCTCCAGCAAGGCTGTCAGCAGCTCCAAGGGCAGCCAGCCCGAGCCCTCGGAAAGCAACAGGAAAGGCGAGAGCCCCGCTGCCGAGTGCCGGAGCACGCCGGCCACACGGACATCCAGCATCCACCACTTGATCACACCAGGTGGGACCAGTGTGGAGCTACAGGAAACTGACTGTAGATCGCAGTTCTGTCAGGGTTCAGTGTTCTCTGACCATGTTATGGCAGATATTCTATACGAACAGAGTTCAGATTTTATTAGTAAATTCACTTATTTGTTGGTCTTAGATGTTGCACAAGATTTTGATTAAGCAGAAGCAGGAGTGTTCTTAAATCATAATACAAGCACAATATAGCAGCTGCAATTCGCTGTAGAGTCACAGCACAAATGATTCTCATTCCTAGTCTCTCTCTGTATATTCATTCTTGGGACATGCCATCCAATCTCTAGGCAGCAAAATGTGGGCTGAAACTACCTCAAGCCTCTTGCTCCCATCTAAATCAATTTTAATTGTGGTTTGTTTCTTTTTTCTCTGTTGTCTGTGTCATGAGAATGTTCTTATATCGAGTACTTTTATAAACCCACAGGTAACAGTGCTAAAATGTTAGTATTTTGTATCAAGATAAATCAAAATAACCCGTACTTGGTTAGAGAGGCACTTACACTGCATGCATTGTATTTGCACCTTAGCTTTCTTATTTTGAAAAAGTGATGGTAGTCTAGACAATTGGTCTGAATTCTGTGGAATGTAGCTTGGCTCAATGACAGCTTTTAGAGAAAGAGGGAGACTTGGAGGCAGACATTCTGGAGGTATTGAACTCTAATGCTCTCAGAACTCACACTGGTAGGAAAAAAACCCCCGTACTTAGTAGCAGAACAAATCAAAAAATCTACATAAATTACTTGTTTCTCAAGTGGACAAAACAAAGCAAGAAGAGGTTTGCATGTGGAGGAAAATGTGTGTGTGTGTAAGAAATGGCTGGTGAGTCACTGGTTCACTTAAAGGTGATGATTTCTCTGGAAGCTGCACTATTTTTAGGTTTGTGCCTTCAGTTGCTGTGTTCAAGTTCAGGCAAATGCTTTCAATGGTAAATTTATACTAAACTCTTGGAATTTTGTTAGTCTCTTAGCATAGTATTATCTGAAGTTTGACTTAACAGTTATCAGCAAATCCTGTTGTACTTATAATTTCTCTTCCAGTCTATTTGAAAGCAAAGTTTAAATCCATTTAAAGTTGTGTGCAATTCTTAAATGAGGCTGGATCAGCAGTAATCTTAGACCTAGCAGCAAAAAGATAAGTTTAGCTACTTCTTTATAGAAAGTACCTATATGCAAAAAGCATGGTCATATTCATTTGTTCATTGCTGCATTTTGCTTTGGAAATTGATATACACCCCTAATAAATTGTTCTTGTGTTCTGTGTGTTGTCAAAGAAGAGATTTTTAAACAAATATTTGAAGTGGTAAAGATATTGTGCTGATCTTTAAAGTGAGAATTTTTGAGGTATTTTACAATATTTTGAGAACTTGAAGAAATAAATATTAATTGTCACTTTTTTTCCCTTCCCTCACAGCTTCATATTCCCCATTGCAACCTCATTCTCTAGTAAAACATCAGCAGATCCCACTTCATTCACCACCTCCAAAGATTTCCCATCATCAGCTGATCCTGCAGCAGCATCAAGTCCAGCCGATTGCGCTCCAGACTCCTCCGGGCCAGGAGCCGCCTCCGTCCCAGCACTGTCTGCCCGTCCCCAGCCATGCGCTGCCTCCGGCTCCCAGCAGCGTCCCGCCCCACTGCTCCCCTCTCCACGTCCATCCTCCGCCTCTCACGCTCTCCCCTACCCCGTCCCAGTCAGCTCAGCAGTCAGTGGTGGTGTCCCCTCCGCCGTCCCACTCCCCGAGTCAGTCACCCACCATCATTATTCACCCTCAAGCCCTTATCCAGTCCCAGGCCAGCTCCCTGGTGCCGGCGGCTCTGCAGCCCGAGCCGGCCGCTCCGCAGGCGGCTGCCGCCAGCCCGGTGCGGCCGTCGCAGCCGCTCAGCCTCCCGCAGCACCTGCCGCTGCCGCCCTCGCCCGCCGTGCACATCGGGGCCGTGGAGCCGCCCCCCTTGGTTTCCCCGGGCCAGCAGCTCGTGTCCTCCACGCCGCACCAGCAGTATCCAGCCCTGCAATCCGCTCCCATCCCTCTGGCAGCTCCGCCTCAGCTCTCGGCATCCTCAACCCAGATTCAACCGCTGCCCTTGCAGTCTGTGCAGTCGTTACAAGTGCAGCCTGAAATTCTGTCCCAAGGCCAGGTTTTGGTTCAAAACACTTTGGTTTCTGAGGAAGAACTTCCTGCTGCAGAGGCTTTGGTCCAGCTGCCGTTTCAAACTCTTCCACCGCCACAGACGGTCGCAGTAAATCTGCAGGTGCAGCCCTCAGTTCCGATTGAAACTCCAGTGGTGAGTGATAACATTGCATCCTTTATTCTTTCCCTGGGTTCCTCCAGAGCTGTGAGTCAGGTCCATTGACTTCAGAGCAACCTAAATCAGGTGCTAGACAGAGGACAAGAAACCTATTGATTACAGAACCGAGTTTTAAGAAAATAATAGACTTTTTCCTTCTGATTCATATTTTGGTTTGGAGTGGTTTTGTTGGCTTTTTGTAATGGATTATCAGTCAAGAATATCAGCCAGGCATCATGAAAATGGTTTGCTTTTGACAGGGTGGTGTTTTACATTTTAATCTGCTAAACTGACTGTCAGGAATTTATGTAAATTTATTTCAATACTTTTGAGGGAAAGACCTTAAAATCTTATAACCTCTAATGCTTGATAGCCTTTGTGTACTCTTCTGAAATACTCAGCTTGATTACATTGCTGTATAAGATAGAACAATTTGCAGACTGGTCATTAAACTTGCATTTTTCAGATGCACTTAAATAACATCAAATGTATGTGTAAATAAAAATAGCAGTAAACTATACACATAAGATACTTAAAAAGTCAAGTTCTCTGCTCTGTTTGATTGGAGAACTGTACTTCTTTATGTATTGCTGTTTGTAACAAAATACTTTCATTTTACTGTCATAGATATTGTGATGTCCTCAGAGTTCATTGTTTGGTATGCATTTTGGGAACTAGTATTTTATTAAAAGATTAGCATGTTTGATCTGGTAATTTATTTTTAAGACTGTATTTATGCAACTCTTTTAAGGTGTTAAGATAGAATGGAAATCTCTCTAAAGCAATAGTTTGTTGGATGCAGATTTACCAAGTGGAGAATGTGTGTGAAGAGGAGATGCCCGAGGACTCAGATTGTGTCCACATGGCAAGAACACCTACACCACCCACCTTGTCCCCACCAGCCATAACCTTGGGTAATGGAGAGGCTCTTAATTCAGAAGATCCTTTGTCAGGTGAGGACAAATGCCAGACTAAGATAGCTTTTGGTTTTGTGATTTGTGTAAGTAATTATTAGCCAGGTATGTTTGTAGTTAGCGGGTACTGAGTAAAGGAAAATGTTTACATGAGGAGGGTGTGTTTGTGGAATAATCTGTGAGATAAACCATCTTGTTTTAAAAGTGGAATCTATAAAGCCTAGGGAAGAGTCTGTGTTAGGGGTTGATGCGTGCAGAGATGAGTCTTAGCAATACTTCCTGATTCTGAGCCAGTGGTTGGACATAAGTGATAAAACATAACATATTTTGTTATTTCTTGCAGAACATGGGGGACTGCCTTCAGTGACATCATCAGTCAGTGCCTCAGTAATTAAATCTCCATCTGATCCTTCCCATGCCTCTATTCCACCACCACCTCTTTTGCTTCCAGCAGCAACGACAAGGAGCAGCAGCACATCCATGCCCAATAGCATTCCCAGCCTAGAAAATAAACCTCCACAGGCTATTGTTAAACCCCAGATACTGACCCACGTCATCGAAGGCTTTGTGATTCAGGAGGGGTTGGAGCCATTTCCTGTAAGTCTAAAAGTTGCTAGGAATTTTTTACTAGTAATCTTTGAAATTAACTCTCTGTAAGAATGATGTTATTTGTGGCTGCTTGATACTTAGATCTTGAGTTATGTTTCAGATGTTGGTTTTGACCTTTTCTCCGCTGATTGGTGACTTGAGTCGTAGGCTATATCTGGAGATAACTACAGAGAGTGGGTTTAGGCTACCATTTGGAATAACTTTTTTATATTTGTCTACCTCCTAGGTACCTCTGTTTTAGTGATACCTTAATTTGAACCTCAGAGCTGAGTCTGTTAAAATTCTAAAATGCTAGAATTTGTTGTTTCAAGCACTGGCAAGCTCTTACCTGGGCTAGGTGTAATTAGTGCTGTGTCTGGTAAGAAGTACCGTTGACAGTTTCAAATCACAAACTGGCAATTTAAAGCCTATCTTTCTAATGTAATATGTGTCTCATTTTCCCATTCCTTAATTTCTGTAAATATGATGTGTTTCTCCCTTTGTTAAATATAATTGCAAACTGCAGAGCAGGAGCGAGTCTTAATTTGTTTGAGAAATAAGCTTTGGCACAATGTAATTACACTTCATTGATATGAAGTAGAAACTGATCATCTTCTCAGTTACAACTGTTAAGTCACAAATAGTGTTTTTAATTATTCACTGTTGTGAATAACATTAATTACTCACTGTTGCTTTTCTTTTATTGCACTAGGTCAGTCGTTCATCTTTGCTGGTGGAACAGCCTGCAGAGAAGAGATTGCTGGTGGAGGGTCAGATCATGAGTGTGGTGTGTGTTGAGTCAGACTTGCAGAACACAAAACATGCAGACAATTCATCAGACACAGAGATAGAGGATATGATTGCAGAAGGTTTGTAGTTTTTGTTTAAATGCCCATTTCCCCCCTCCAGTTCTGTATGCTATGAACTGGGAATCAAACTGTGGCCTGGCCCAGAAAAAACAAGTTATTCTGTGAGCATACGGAATAACTTGTATAAATTCATCTAAGATTTGAAAATTCAGAATTTTTTAGCCACCCCTGGGTTTTCTTTCCCACAGCTTATATCCTTATTGCACCAGAGCTGTTTTTGGTGAACTGCTTAAATTTAGTCTTAATGCAAGTCTTTCTTTCATTCTCTTAAAATAGCTCTATTCCTTCCATATCAAAACTCTTTGCAGCAGTTATTTTGTTCATAATGTGTTTAATTAGATGTTAATTCAGTTTTCATTTCAGTATGAACACCATGCTGTTTCTCAGATTTCAGACAGCTTGTCTGTTTTGTGGAGTTATCCAAACACTCATAGTTTTGGGTTTAGTTTTGGTTTAGCTCCTTACAGCTGGTGTTAGGTTTATGTAGAGAATTTGTAGCTACTCATTAGATGAGCTGGTAGGAAACATCCAACATGGAGACACGTCCACATCCACATCACATGAGTAGGGGAGATTTTCTGATAGTAAATCAGGGTATGACTGTGTGTGTGGCAGAAACACCCTTCAAATACCCTTCTCAGTATTTCCAGCTCTTTACTGCACTGGTGCTTTTTGTAGAGAAGGAAAAGGGTCATCTCACCTCACCAATAAGGGAAAAATGCTGTGTAACAATAAGATGTAAATCAGCAGATGTCATAATCCTTTTTTTTGTTACATGCAGATTATCTTTTTCCTAGATTGAATGTTATATATATTCAAGATTCAATATTTTCTTCACTTTCACAAGTCCCTTTGGTGGTAGCAGCTGCTTCTTCAAAGTACTTTAAAAGGTTAATTCATTATGTCATTACAGGAGAGTTTGCATTTATACTATGGAAGGCCTGATTCTCGTAATGAACTCTATGAAGCAATTTATGAGGAATGTAACCCTTCTTTTTTAATTGCTTGCTATGTTTGAGGGCAGACCTTCTCATGGATGGCTTGAAATGCAACAAAAAACTGATTAAGTTCATCGAATAACTTAATTGAAGGTTCATTAAGGTTCAGTCTGCTCAAGATCTTTTCTAGGCAGAATGAAATCTATACTTGTTTAGCTTTGCATAATTGTCTATTAATCAAAGTACTTAATTGAACGTGTTAAATATTTGAAGATCTTTTGCCTGCTTGAGGTGAGAGATGTGAACATAATTTTGTGTCATTGAAACTGACTTTATTCATCATTCCTTCTATAGAGGGACTGGAAGAAATTGAAAACGATCTTCTGAAGTGTGAATTTTGTGGGAAAATGGGATATCCCAATAAGTTTCTGCGGTCAAAAAGATTCTGCTCCACATCCTGTGCCAAAAGGTAACTCTATGTAATTATTGTTTATCATTATCTGGCTAATGGTTTAATCTCTCCTGGCTGAGAGAACAAGAATTCACAGTCAACCTCTGAACGCAAAATCTTCCATTATAACAACTGGAAAGTTGATGTTTAATACCATAAGTTTTAGAAACGGGGAATAGTTTCCCATTTCTGGTTGCCACTTAGCTCTTTTTTGGCATCAGTATCTGGGCATGACCTTTCTCATATGTCTGCTGTGTTCCCATTTAGGTAGTGAGAATATATATTTTTGATTTGATACTTCTTGGGACACCACCAGCAAAATAATCTCAAAGAGATTTAGTCTTTTTATCTTAACATGGGATTTTTGCCTCTATCCTCCTCTGACTGGGTATCAGCTAGGTAGAGAAAATGGAGCCAGAAAATATAATGTGATTTTAGGTTTTTAGTGGACATTTCAGAGCAGAACCATACTATGCAATAAAATGCAAAGGTATTTCTAAGAATGGGAAGGAGAGACATCTTCCAGGGGTAATCTGGATGTCTTTGATCCCACAATGAGATGAGGGTTTTGATGAAATAGCCTTTGAGATACCTTTCTCTTGTATTTCTGTGACAGCTGTTGTTGTAATTAAGCAGCATTTCTACAACACTGTGATTTTATGGTTACTTGATTGAATTCAGTCCAAAAAACTCCTAGTGCATTATCGAATATATCTTACTTCTTTAGGCACAGCCTTAGTTGCACTAAGAAATTTGGGCTGTTTCCATCAGACAAGACCAGTCGTTGGAATCGGAAGTCAGATAGCCAAAGTCTTGGGCGACGCGGGCGTCGGCCGAGTGGCCCTGAGGGGGCGTCACGAGATCATTTTCTTAGACAGGTCTGTGGAATATTTGCTTAAAACTATGGCACTGCTTTGGGAATTGCAAATAAAGCCTAATACTGTAGTTACTACGTTTTCCAGCTTCCAATTACTTATCCATCTGCAGAAGAAGATCTGGCTCCTCATGAAGACGCTGTTCCCACGGCCATGACCACGCGGCTCCGGAGGCAGAGTGAGAGGGAGAGGGAGCGGGAGCTCCGGGAGCTGAGGATGCGGAAAATGCCGGAGAGCATCGACCTCCTGCCCGTGGTGCAAACTGACCCCTCAGTATGGACTGTCGATGAAGTTTGGGCTTTTATACATTCTCTGCCTGGTATGGAAGGGGCAATAACTTGTTCTGTTGGTTTTAACAATGAAGCTCCTTGCTTTATAGCAGCACTGTGATGAGGAGGTGATGTAGTAACAGCAGCAGCAGTGTTAGCTGGTGATAGAGACTGGAATGTGATTTGTTTCCTCTTGCTTGTTCCTTCAGCACAAATCCCATGTTGATAGAACTAGTCCCACTTCTGCTGTTGCACCCCAGCTGATGGAGATTAGAGCTGTTCCTTCAGTCTGACTTCTCTCAAGAGGTCAGTAGAGAGATCAGACACACTTCCTCCATGTTACGCTGCTTTCTTCTCTTCCTTTCTCACTTCCTTCTTCTTTCTTCCTCCCTTGCTGCTTATTCAGTAGAAAAAGCAAGAGCAGTGTTACTTCCCTTGATACAACTGAAAAGTTTGGAAGACCTCTCATGATACAAGTCATTAAAAAAGAATAAGCAAGTTTCTGCTATAAAGTTAAAATTTGTTTTGCATAGCTTTGCTCAGAGATCTTCTGCCTAGAAACTCTACATGCTGCTAGTCTCAGTTTATTCTCAGAAAAAAATAATATGATTTTTCCTTGTTCACAAACCTTTCTTTTAGATCAATATTCACTGTTACCTTTATGTCATCTTCAGATTATTTGGCATTTATCATATCCTAACTATCATAACCTTTAAAGCTTCACTCCCCACCTTTTCCCAAGGATTCCATTTTATCTGATCAGACACTGTAACCCCTACAGATAACAAGGCAGATCTCCACAGTTAGCAGTCATACCAGAAGTTTTGTTGCTTACCCATTAAAGCCCAAGCTGTGTTTGTTCCTAATTTTCTACTTTTTTTGGAATGCTATACCATTTTTTTGAGAATCCCGTTAGAATGTTAACCTATAAGGAATATACCTTCACTGCTAAGTCATACACATGCATTTTTTAGACAGATAGTCTTTTTTAGTAGTTCAGGCAAAGAATTGCATAAGAGATGTTTAAAATGGCAAAAGTCATCCTTGAAGTACCTTTCTTCTGATAGTTTATTGCAATTCAGTAACACTACCTGCTTCTTGGGAACCTGCAGTGATGGCTGTAGAAACAAGCAAAGCTCCATAGGTTTGGGATGTGGTTATTGCTGTTTCTGTACTTGAGCTGTGTTACGGAGTGTAGCTCTGTCACTGCTGTTTTCAGTTACTGTTTGTATGGATTCGAGGCTCTAGTTAATTCAATAACTAATCCTAGGCTCTCAATAAATGATAATTCCTGTGCTAGAGTAATTGAAGTGCCACATAAACACAATTCACTTGCAAGTATGAAACCAAAAATTTTATTCTTAAAATGTGGTTTCTGTTTTGGAGCCATTACTTTTACAATATTTCACTGGGTGCTGGATCTGGTTTAGTTTTTGTAATCGATAAACAAGGTGATCTTTGATTTTAAACAAACTTATATTTATTTATATGTAATGAAAATTTATTACAACTACTCATTCCTTTCCATATGAACACTTAGTTTCTCAAATACTTTTTTTTTAAAGAAGTTCAATAGATATTTAAAGTTATATTCACAACCTGCCAGAATTTTTATTTCTATGTTGCTGCATTTGGGTTTTGGGTAATTTTGGGGTTTATTCTTTTCAGTATAGTCTCAAGTCATTCTCTTGAAAAAAATATTTTATCATATACTTCCAAGATGGATTAATGCAGGAAATAATATAGATTATTTTCTTTATGGCATTTTATATTATATATCTACTTGGTGCTGTCTGTGCAGGTCATCTCTAGACCATGCTGTAGCAGATGGTGATTTGTCACTTTTCCATGAACATTAGGGACATCTGTTTTCATTTACAGCTTTCTGCAGAGTCTGTAGCTGAAATGGACTTGTATCCTTGTCAGGCTTTTCCTCTGGAGCCTTTTGGAAAAGTCAATGTCCAGGACACTTGCACTGTTAGCTGCTTCTTCTGGAGGAAGAGACAGAACAGCTTAAACTGAGCAGAATTGTTCTCCTTTCTGTCTTCAGTTGCAAGATGAATGACCTTTCACCTGCTCTCCACCCTTTCTTTTTGGCCACGTAATTGCACAACAAGCAATTGCAAAAGTGCTTAAGAATATACCCAGATGTGCATGGATGTGGGAACTGCAATACCTTCAACTTTCATGCTCTGCTTTTCCAAAAATGACTTTGATAAAAAGTATTTAAGAAGTTGCACGGAATTTGCTTAAAGGAAAAAAGCTGGCAACAGCAAACATCCAGTTTCCTATTTCAATAGGACCAGTTTTGTTCCTAAATGTAAGAGCATCTCCTGATCTCTCAAGACTCTTTGTAAATGGTATGGCCTGACAAGCGCAATGTTCAGGTCTTAAATCAGACATGCCATTATGCCTTTCCCAGAATACTCAATACTTGACTTAGAGATGTTTTATCTGTTGTTGGCACTTCAATAAGAAAACCTTTATTATGATGTCAGAGCTGATTGTTGCATGAGGTCTGTTTAACAAATCATTAAGGAAAAAATTGTGCTTTATTCTTCATGAAAAGCTAACTTTTTCCAACCTTGAATGTTACAACCTTCACACAGTAATAATCCAAATTAATTCAGGTTTGGATGTTGATACTTCCTTCCATGTTTCCTTTCCATTAGCCTTGTACACATTTGTAAATCCATCAGGAAATTAGGCTATCTATTCTTTATGGAATTTAAATCTGAACACACAAGAGAATATGAAATTACTTGCTGTTGTCTAGGTAGAAAAGTTCTTCACAGTAATTTCATATCTCTATAATAGTGTTCTTTTAAAAAGGGAAAATGTAAAAATGCCAAAAAATAAGCTTACTTGAGGAATAATTGACATCAGGAATGAAGGTGGAGCACAAATTCAAGTGTGTCTGAACAGCTCTTGAGACCGATGGAGAGACTGCTGGATTGAGAACACAAATGTATTAAAAAACCCCATTAAAACCATGGCTGGGGGAAAGAAACATCAATAAACAACTGATAATGAGTGCTCTCATGGATGTTGTTGGAAGACATTTATCCATCTAACAGAGCTGCCATAGAGCCAGACATAAATGGCTAATTCTGCTCAGCACCCATCCAGAACATCTTTGGAGGAACCTTTATTTCCACAGTGTTTTTCAGTGGAAAAGGCCCTCAGTTGCTTGGGACACTCCAACCCATGTAGAGTCTTTTTTTTTAATGTTGTGGTCTTCAGTAACCTGAGACTGGTATTTCATGTTGAGAAAAGGAGTTTAACATGGGAAAAAACATCCAACTAGTTTAAAGTTGCACTTGTGAGCAGTGACTTGAGTTACTGCTGTGTATAGAATATTCACTCTGATAACAAATGCTAAATATCTTTGTGAGATGTTTGGGCCAAAGCCATACATCAAAACTTTGTTTCCTTAGCTCAGTGGTGTAACATACAGGTGGAAATAACTCATTTTGGAAATTGTAGCTATTTGGATGTTCTCACTGCACAGAGCAGTATAATATAGTTATCATTTATAGAATTAGGTAATGCTATCTCTTTATTGTTGGAAAGAACCTACTTCAATTACATTCCTGATTGCTATTTTATTGCTGTTTTCCCAGTCTCTCCCAATGATGAGAGGTTGTTCCTCTTAATGAAATGAAAATTCTGTCTTTGCTGGGACTTGAAATTCCCAATGAGTAGTTCTCTGATAAATACAGTGCAATTAGAGGCTGTAGTAAAACTCATTTTCATATTATTTCATAATTCCCATCACAATACTGAACTCTTGCATGTAATTTAGGTTCAGCAAGCTAAAGAGATGAGCACTGGAAAATGTTGCTGAAAAGCTCTGGTGTGGACAAAATCTGGTGTGGATATTGGATCTAAGAATGGACATTTCTAAACAGTAATCATATTTTTTATTGCCTTTAGGTTGTCAAGATATTGCAGATGAATTTAGAGCACAAGAAATTGATGGACAAGCTCTCCTTTTGTTGAAGGAGGATCACCTTATGAGTGCAATGAATATTAAGCTTGGACCTGCATTGAAAATCTGTGCACGTATCAATTCCTTGAAAGAATCCTAGGAGGTGAACATGAAGGTTTAAACAACAGTTTCTCAGTGACAGAACCAACAGTAATATGCCAACATCTTCACTGTGGCATGAGTGTTACTGTGATATTTTGTTAAGTAGGTGGGGCTCTCCCCACATAAAGACTTTAAAATGTTCCTTTTATTATACCAGGAGTCCTCTGTAGTTTTCAACAACTAATAAGTTTATAGTACAGCCTGAGTAATGCTTTGAATTGAAATTTTTCATGGAAAAACATGAAGTGAAATATGCTGTGATAGGTTAGATATTCTCCAACATGTACTTCATTTTATGAGTTATGATTAACACCCCAGTCCCCACCCCAATCCAGACACCATTTCAATTGTGTTGCTGTATTCTGAACGATTTTTCCCACATACAGCAGTGTTTGGACTGAACTAACAGAGTGTCCACAGGCCCTGTGGAAGCACTAGTACCAGTAAAATGCTATGCATTTAGTTGTGCTCTCTGAGTTTGTTTTAGTCTTGAGCAAATTGTTTGTAAGGGGTAGGTTAGCAGCTGGTTTTCCTCGTGTAGGCTTACCCTCATCTCTGCCACTATAGTATTTTCTTGAAGTCTGTAAAATACTATAAACCATGTAGATGTCTCATCGAAATCCTCATGATCAGGCTACTGACACTCCTGCCAGAGGTAACTGAAGCACATATTACTTTACTCTTTGAATGCTGCTATGCACTAAGGGGGCATTAAGTGTTAGGTTTGTAATTTCACATGCTGCTAGTTAAGTTAAATCAGCAGTTCTCAAATGGGGGTTCAGAGTGGACCCCGAGGAAGTGTGGGAGCACTTGGGGTTCAGGTTCCCAAATGCCTGGATGTGAGGGGCTGAAAACTGCAGCCAGGACCAGCTCATGTTGAGACAAGTTACAAGTTGCTTTAGAGCCTGAGGGAAGAAGGGACAGCATAACTCGGATGTTCTTTTTCTCGATACCTCTTCTAACATGTCTTTCCCTGTAGTGCATTTCCATTGCTTCACTGGAAGCTTCCAAGCACCTTTTCCTTGTCCAGTGGCCAGTGTGAGCTGTGCTTGCAGTACTCTGAGGAAGGAGCAGTGAGGCTCCCTCAGAGCTTGTGCAGGAGCAGCTGCTGAATGCCTGGAGCTGCAGGTCAGCAGGAGGCATGCCAACGTTGGCAACTCTGGGAGAATGTCCTGGTTTAGGGCAAATCTGGGAGGACCAGGACAGAGAAATATCCAGGGGCCCTGCTTGGTCCCTCTGACAGGAGATTTTGTCTTGGATGCTGCAGACCCAGGTGGTGGATTTTAGTGTCCCCCTCCATCTTCCCGCTCTCACACTCTGTGGAACAAATACATTTCCCCAGTTACTGATGCTCTTGGAAGCTGCCTGGGCTCTGAGGCAGCAGCACCTTCTTGGCCTTTACTTCCCCACCACCTGTGCACCAATGCTCTTGGATGTATTTTGTCCTTCTGTTCCCTCCCTTTTGCAGCCCCACTCCCCTTATGTACAGACCTGAATCCTTAAGCTCTTGTTTAGGGAAAGAAGGGTACGTGTGCTGATAGTCACTGTGTATATTTGAATTAAATATGTGTATGTGTCTGCAAATAATGTATTTTTTTGTATTTTATGCAAATTAATGCATAATATATGATTGTGTAGGGAGGTATTCGGGGGCTGTACAGTATTCCTGAAGAGAGGAGGAACTGACCGAAAGTTTTGAGAACTGCTGCCCTAGATCAAAAGGGGTCAATGCACATACACTGGCCAAAAGGCAGGTTTGTGACAGACAGATTAATATGTATATTATTTAACTGATGACCCTGAAGAGTAAATTTGAATTACAGAAAATCTGTGCTTCATTTTCCTTTAATTACACTATTGCTTTGTTTCCACTAACAGATTTTCTACCATTACCTTCTAGAGATCAACATTAGAATCATTGTTCTTAATTACAACTGTTTGAGCTTGCTAATAGCAGATGTTATTAATGATTTTATTAACCACTTGAGCTGCAAGTTAGGACAACACGTTGCAGTTGCACGCTGGTATGTGGTGAGAACCCTTACCCAAATGGCACCAAAGCTTTAGAAGATGAATTGATGCCTGGGTTTATTTTGGAGGGAAGTTGCTAAGCACTTTCTAGTTTTGTTTATTGTTTTTTTTTTTTCTATTTTCAGTTACTGTTGTAAAATAAACTTCTTAGTTGAACTTCCAATATTTGCTAATGTTCATTTGAAAGACATTCAAATGACGGAGACAGTGGGTTCCCATTTGTAGCATTTCTGTAAGATACACAGTGTAGCATATCTGTAACATATGTTCTAAAGGATATGTTCTGTTTTGATGAGCTAACTGAAGACTAAATATATCTTAGATATTTATCCTTTGGCTTTTGTCTTAAAGTTTTATTATTTTTATACAAAAATCTCACTGGCTAATTTTTAATCTGTCTTCTGATTGTACTGTTCTTAGACAATGTAAAAAGTAGGGATACATAAATGTGGTTTGATAATGGCTTAAGGTGTACTAGAAAATGTGGACTTAGGGGTCTTATTAAGACCTGTAGTAAATCAGTGTTACATGCATGAGAATTTCATGGCTACTTTAATTTTGCTTTATTAGACAGCTTTCAGGAGAGCTTCTCCAGCTAGAGTTTGTGTCCAGCTCAGCCAGAATCACTGCCAGGTGATCAGAGCAGACCCCAGTAAGGCACATCTGGTCCTGTTCATCTGGTATGTAACATTCCCTGTGGGTTTGGGAGAGCCACAGATAATGAGTTATGCTTTAAATATTCATAAATGCAGCAGCTTAGAATATGGGTCTTATGCATATTGAAATTTTTTTCTTCTTCTTCAGTGATTTTGGCAATTAACTGGAAGTTAAAATCAGACACAGCTATACCAACCTGTACTGATAGAAGTGCACTTGTACAGGAGGGTTTGCCAGTGCAGCTGTGTCAATAAAATATTTATTTTTTTTTTAAATCGCACTTGTATATGAAAGTAGGCTGGAAATTTTCCAAGTGCTACTGAAGTCTACTTGGGAAGCTTATGAATTTTCTCAAAAAACCAATATAATACTTAGAGTAACAATCCTCCAGAACCATTTTATGTACCAGCCACTTGCTGTTCAGATAGGTGAGGTTTTCCCAGACTTATATTAACCATTTCCCATGGCTTTCCCACATGTTAGTCTGTACCCTCTTGCAAAAGAAGAAGTATTAAAGATTTTAATTGTATTTTAACACTTGTTCCCACAGGATGTGTCTACAAGAAATCTTTTTTTTTTATTCTCTTTATTTCCTGGGATTTTGCTGGGTGTGGTGTGCCACTGCCTGGCATGGCAGCTACAGCTAATGCCAGTTTCAGATGGATGTTCTCATTCTAATACCCCAATATCCATGCAGAAACTTCCACCTCAAGAGCTCAACAGATTTCTTACACAATGACAAATCTACAGCTCTGAGTGATCAAAGAATTCAGTGACAGCTATGCTGAGTCCTGGTTTTGCAAATTAGACATCCCCATAATTTATAACATGAGTAGTTCAGATTGTACTGAGACTGCTCATCTTAAAACTCAGCATGTATAAAAGCTTGCAGGATTATTCTCTCACCAGTATTGTATAGAGATGTCCTGTTAGCTTATACTTAGTAATATATTTGTCATCATTAACCAGACATTTCCTCATTGATTGTTTTAGGCTGCAGATAATGACAGTGCAAAACAATCAATCTAGGGTCGTTTTTTAATACTCACCTAAATTAGTTTATTAGGGATGGAGAGTATTTTAAATACACTGTTCCTGTTCAATGCTGAGTGGAACAGGTATGAACAGAGCTATCAATGAATAATTTCAGTGTAAAGTGCTAATTGCTCATAGTGAATTAATTTTCAAGTCACTCTTGCATAGTGAGCAGTAGTTTCAGACAGGAAATACTGCGAGGAGAAAGAAATTTGAAATTTAATGCTTAGTTCATTTAAGATGAACCTAAATTAAATTAATTTTAAAAGACTTTGCCTTTAGTAGTGAGAGTTTATTTAGACCTGAAAGGTTCTATGTAGTTATATCCCCTGGATGGCTTTGCAAATGGTGACATTTGAAAAAGAGACAGTAATGATGCTCCAGTGCCAGCTGTGTGGGTTTTTTAGGAAGCTTTTTCAGGAAGCTGTCCCTGGTCTGAGCTGATGGAGTCAGGGCCTGAGACGCAGACTGAGCACCAAGGCAGTGAACACACAGTACCCTAATCCATGAGAATCAGCCTGGTTTGTTTTTACCATCTTCATCTCTTTGGAAACCTGACATTTCCTTCCCCACTCAATTTCTGAGAGTGGCATTTTGCTCTCTTGGATGTCAGCTCTGGGGGCTGTGGAGTTTTGTGTCCTGCTTTGTCCCCTGGGTCTCATGGTCAGCACTTCCACATTGGTCCAGGCCCATCCTAAGCTGCTGTGTAGGTTTGTGTAACCTCTGCATTAAAACACACACCTGCTCATTCACCTGAAGGTTGCATAGTATTTTCTGATCCCTTACAGCAAAGTGGAAGGGAAAAAGCAAAGTTCAGAGAATATGCTGGTAATTGCAGGTATGGAGTAAGCTCATAGTCCAGCTTTTGTAACCATGGATTTAATGTTTCTGAAGCACAGTTCTGGGAGCCAGTGTAATGAACAGATTTCAAGTTAAAATTTTTTAAATTTCCAGCAAGTATTCATGTTGAATTATCTAAATGACTCTGTAGAGTAAGTAGCTAGACAAACAAGATTTTAAAAGATTTTTTTCCATCCAGAAGTAATTGTAACTTGAGCACAATTGTGCATTCGTAGGATTGTGATCATAAACACTGTTTAAGTGCAATACTTAACACTGAAGGAGCATTCTAGCTGTGTTTATGAAGCACTGCTTGGGTACATAGGGTTGTTGACAGGCTTGTGGTGTTGTTGCTAGGTAATAATCAGGATATCTATGCTGATTATGGGATTAGGTTTGAAGCACAAATGTCTTTGATTCATGAGGTAGATCTGCTTTGTGAGTGAAGCCTGGGCAGCCTGTGGAAGACTTGTGTTGTCCTCCACTCTCCAGCCAGGATGCTTTTTGCAAATTCATTTTTTGAAAGAACGAGGGATTCTGCACGCCCAGCTTTCTTTCCAAGTAGTCTTTGTGTTATAGAATGAACAAGCCAATACTGACCAGGAAAGATGTGTGTAAGATGAAGGGTTTTATCATTGAGGAAAGATGTGTGTAAAGATAAAGGGTTTTATCATTGAGTGCCAAATACTCTGTTCAGAGTTGAAAACACATAGAATATCTCATTAAAATCACTGTTGATTTGTAAGAGATTCTTTAAATGAGAAAAGTACAGAAGTCTCCCATAAAGGGTTAACACTTTAGCTGCTGTTAGCATTAATAGCAATACTGTAAGGTATTTGAATGGTATAAGGCCATTAGTTGCTGGCACAGCACAAGAAGTGATGTACAAAGGAGATGTAGCAGTGGTTATCTGTAGTTCTTTAATTTCAGCTATTTCCACCTTCCTGGCACAGATTCTATCCTCTCTGGCAGTGAAACTGTCACCCCTGTTCTAGAGAGGGATGGTCCAGGCACCAGTGTTGGGACTGCCCAGAAGCACCAGCTTAAAAAAAAATGCAGAGGAAAATACAATTGTTAGGAAGGCAGTAGGGTGAAAATCACTGCTCAGCTGGTGTCTCCTTCCATGAATGCCAAGCATAAAAGTGGGCTTGCAAAGAGAACTTCCATTCATGTTTTAAAACAGTCACTGGGCAGGCTCAGGCACCATGGTTGGATGTTGCTGGAAACCTGCAGTGCCACTGTTGCCTCCTCAATTGAGGTGACAGCTTAAAAGTTGATGCTCTTTGGCACTTTTCCACCGAAAGTAAGAAAAAATAAATTTGACAACTAATACAGTGATGTAACATCAATCCATTAATATTTGCTTTGGCTGCATGTTGTGGGTTCCCTGTAAAAAATGTTAAAAACTTCAAGTGGCTTTAGGAGCACTGCAGCAGCTACAGGAATTCTGGCACGTTAGGGCAGATGGGGTTGTGTAAACTTTAATTAGGGCTTGGGAAGCTGAACCACACTGATAAATAAAACATGTTAGCAGCCTCACCCAACTGGTTGCAGTTCCAGTTCCTTGCATGTTAGTGATTCAGAAGGGTGAGACTTACCATGCAAAACACACCTGAAATGAACTTGAAAATAGCTTTTCCTTCATCTGGTGTTGAACGAACTTTAAAAGAGGAATTTCCCCCTGCCTGCCAAGTCTGTATGAATTAGTTATTTCATGATTCTGAAATGCCTGGTGCATTCCTAGATTTGATGTATTTGCTGATTTTCAAATGGAATTAGGTTTTGTAAATATTTTGTCAGCCCCATTTCAGTGGGTGTCCAGTTTCTATAAAACCTGAAGAAATGCTGTGTCAAACCCCTGTGTTTAGCCATGGTTTATCCTATAGCATCTCCAGCACTAACAGCAATCACAGTTTGAGGGAGCAGGGAGAGATTGCTTAGGGTTGTTTTCCAGTTAACATTGCATGTGTTTTCCTGCTTTTAACATGGAAATAGAATTTCCTCCAAATACATTTTCCAGCATAAAAAAATGAAATAATTTGTGGTGCCAAACACTTCAAACTATATTGCTAAGCATTGCCTCCTCTTATTGCACTAGTTTTAAAATTCAGTTTTTGATCATTTACTATCCTTTTGATGGCCTTTTAACTAGATTTTCTCCCCAAACCATTTTCTACTGCTGAAAAATGCTTGTCCCCTTTTGATTACATCACAGAAAACTCAAAGAATTTTACAACAGACTGTGGGTGAAAGAAGCACTATGTGGGGTGAAGTAATAAATCAAAATAATCGGATTTTAGTATGTTTCAGAAATTGAAGATTAATTTATGATTGAGATGTGATTGGGTATTCTTATGGAGTGAAATACTAGAATATTCTTTTATAAGAAAATTTAACCCATGTAATCTTAAATTCTGCAATTAAATCTATCTCTATAATTGATATAGAATAAAATAAATTATTACCCAAAATCGAAATTTTGCAGTTGAAGAGCACACAATGAGCTATGTAAAAGTATGATCTTTACTTTGTGAATCGTTTTATAAGAAGCACTTTCCTATTACCAACTAGCATGTGAACGAATTTTAGATTCTCTCAATTGTTATGATCTGTAAAAATGACATTTCTTCAATCTGTCTGTTAATGGATAAATCCATCCTACAAATGCTGAAACAAAGCACCTTATACTATGCTGCTTAAACTTGCTTGTAATTGCACCTTTTGTTATCTGCAGAGTTTTCTTAATGAGTATTCTTGTGTGAAATCATTGTTCCCTGTGGGTCTGGGGGACAGTTAAATAACCTACAGCATCATTTACTTAGTTTCTCTTTCAATACAACATTGTATTGTGACCTTAGTGCTTCAGAAATAAATGCTAATTTCATTTGTCTGCTTTGGTTGTGTACCATTTATTTCTCTTATACAAAATCAAATCAAGTCCATTGTAAAACTTGAAGAATTTGAAAAATGAGAGTATTTTTGCTAGAAGCCTGACTAATTTTTTCCCTACTGAAGTAGTCCCACTTCATATTTAACTATTTTAAAGTAATTTTGTCTTCAAACTAAGGTACATTTTAATTTGAGCTATTCTTTACCCTTGGGTATGCATTTATGTGTAGCAGCTAACCTTGATGCTTGTTGCTTTAATTATTTAATTATTAATATGATCATGTACCTTAGAGGAACAGCAGCAAAGAAACAATGAAACAGCACCTCTCCTGTAGTTGTGGAAGTCGCACATCTTGCACTGGTTTTGTACTATATAACATTCTATTTCTCTAGGAGTTGTAACTTTAACTTAAACAAGTTATTTCTTGTTAAACAGATAGCAACCCTTACCTTCCATCAAACTGACAAAAATTCACATTTTAACAACAAAATACACTTCAAAAGCTCATATGAACCTTAGGTCAGCCTCTGTATGTAACTCCAGCCTTCCAGACTTCATTGCATTTTGTACTGTAAAACCTGAGATAATTCCATTTAAAGGAAGTGTAGAATTCTATTCACAAAAATCAAGTTTAACTGAAAACTTGTCCTATATAAGCAGTGTTTTTTTTAAACATGTAATTTCAAGTTGAATTTCCTGGCCTGGCAGTGCTTGCAGTGCAACATTCACTGCAGTATTGCTGGGCACTGGACTTGTTTCTGTGGAGTGAAGCTCTGGAGATGTTTCCTTGTGTTGTCTGTAAGGACCCAGCCACCCAACATCAGAGTTCTGCTTCTTTGCAGCCTTTTCAGTGGCAGCTCATTAACAGATGACAATTACTGTGCCTGGCTTATCAGCTGGCTTTGTGCTTTCATTGTTGAACGGCATAAAGCAGAATTTCCAGCTGACAAAGGGGTCTGTGCACCACCCCTCCTCTGCCAGCTCCACCTCGTGGCACCGGCACCAGTAGGCTGCTGCCAGGAGAAAGCTGTTGATGAAGCACAGCCAGGGCACGTTCATCTCCACATAGGCCGGGATCTGCACTCCCAGGAGCAGAACCACCACCTGGAGAACAACAAACGGTGCCCAGGTGCCAAGGAAACACAGGAGGAGCCTGCTCAGGAGCTGCCACCTAAAGCAAGTGTTGTTGTTAGGCACGTATGGGAACATCAGCACAGGCTGGCTGGAAAAGGAGAGGAGCCTGGCAGACAGCAGCATGGTTGTCACCTCCCTCCAGCAAGCCAGGAGAGCCGTGCCCAGCAGCAGCACCATGGCCCACGACACCGAGGAGCTCTGCCAGCTGCCAGAGAGAGGGCACTGGGAAGGGGAAACTCTGTTCTGCATCTCCAGCTCTCCAGAGACAGCAGGAACTTGGAGAGTGCAAAAAAACCCAGAAATCCATATCACCACCACAGCAAATCCATAAAGAAACTTCCGAGCTGTTGTAGGGAGCTGGGATGTTTGGGAGATGGTGGTGTAATAATCCAGAGCAGCCACGAGGTACACGGGGTAAGGCAAAATGCCGTAGGTCAGAGAAGAGATCTGAGTGAAGAGGCAGATGTGGTACTCCGTGAATCGCACGCCCCAGAGCGCAAAGTCCTCAAACCAGAAAATGAAACACATGCTCAGCAGCAGTGTGAAATCAAGGAGTGCCACTGAAACACAGAAGTAACCCATAAAACTGACTTTCACAGCTCTTGGCTTAATTTGCAACATGAAGAAATCAAGGAAGACTTTTCCAAGCATAATCAGGACCAGCATGTAGCTGATTTCAGGAGGTTGGCTGGTGTGGGTGCAGTGGTGCTGAGCAGAACCATTTTCACAGAGTCTGGCGGCCATCCTCCAGTGGTGAAACCAGCAAAAATAAATGTCACAGGGCACAGTGCTTCATCTCTGAAAAGAAAAAAAAAAAATTGTAGAAATTTGTTTCTCTGTAGCTCTACCAATTAGTTACATCATAGCAACCACCCAGTTTGTCTGAATTTTTCAGGCCCCTGAATGAAGAGTAAAGAGCCTCACTTCTCATCATTAGGTTATCAACAGCTGCCTAAATTTTGAGAGTTAACATCCGAGTTTTAACATTCTTGAGAGTTAAAAGGTCAGCATAATTTAATTATTTACTTTTCTAGCTAATGATCCAAGGAAAGGTTTAGGAAAAGGGAAGACATGGAGAGGTCTTTCTGTCCAGCTGGCCAGAGGGATGGAGGTTTCAGAGCTCCTGCATATTCTGAAAAAATTACAGGACAGAAATCATACAAGACACTGCAGGAGATGCTGCAGCACAGCCTCACAGTTTGTTATGCTCATAGAATCAGTAGGATCAAGATTGCAGAAATATCTCGAAAGCGGAAAAAGCATCAAGCATCACCTCCTTTTTTGGTGGAAAAATCCTGGAACTCTGAGACAATCCAAAGCACAAGGGCTCCGTTAGTAAATTGGGGTTTTTGTTCATCTCTAAGTACAATGACAGAGACCTCAGAACAGCTGGTTTTCCCTTCAGACTTGCACAAGTTTCTTTATGATAACTTTTTTTCCAAATATTAATTCCTAAGGAAAACAAGCATAGGGTGGCTCTGTGTATGTCAGCAAGACAACATGGACAGTTTATCTGAATTATTCTCTTTTCTTCAAGAAGCAGGATGGAGTCCATGATCCCAGTGAAAGCAAAGAAGAGCTGAGGAGCCAAGGTAGCTGTAAACAGGAACTGACTCCGAGCTCTGTGTTGACAGCGAATTGCTTCGATTTAAGCAGACACCTGCATTTTGTGACCGGTTTGCCAGAGTCAGTCAACATTTGTGTTAGTGCACGTTTGAGTTTGAGTGTCCTGAGAGCAGAGTTAAAGCAACCACAAGTCCTTGGCAGCACAACCTGAGAAGCATCCATAGAGTTTGCTTACAAGCCTACCTGGGCTGGCTTCGCTCTTCATCCGCACAAGTGCATCCTCTGAAACCTGAGCTGTCTTTCCAGTACGGCTTAATTCCGGATTTTATCTTCATGTGCTGGATGCTGCTGCACTTGAGCCCGCAGAAAGGAGGGAGCCTGCACGCAAACAGGGTCCCGTTCGGTAAGATAATAATAATAGTAGTAGTAATAATAATGATATTAATATTAATCACCTGTCCTGGGCCGTGCGGGCACAGCTCCCATCCTGCGCACAGAGAACCCCGCGGCTCCTGTCCCGGCCGGGCTCCGCCGCTGTCCCCGGGCCTCCCGGCGGGTTCCTGCTCCCCTCCGGAGCCGGAGGGAGGGAGGCGGCCCGGGGGGCTCCGAGGGGACGCTGGGGCTGTCCCCGCCCGGGCTGTCCCCACCTGCGGCCGGGCTGTCCCCACCCGGGCTGTCCCCACCTGCGGCCGCGCTCCGCGTCCCGCCCGCGGGGCCGCCACCCAGCGCCGGGACCGGGCGGGACCGGGCGGGACCGGGCGGGACCGGGCGGGACCGGCGGGCGGGGAGCGGCAGTGCGGGCTCGTGTCGAGGGGAACAGGGCATAACACAGGTAACACATAACAAATATTACACCTACAGCACGTGTAACACATCCAACAGAACATGTTATGGCATGTAACAGCTATCAGGAAAACATGTCACACACATGATACGTAACATATGACACATAACGTATAGCACACATAAACATAACACATGTAACACACAGAGCACATGTAACACATAGCATTTAGCACACATAAACATAAATAACACATATAACACACAGAGCACATGTAACACATAGCATTTAGCACACATAAGCATAAATAACACATATAACACATAGCGCATGTAACACCTAGCATTTAGCACACATAAACATAAACAACACATATTACATAACACACAGAGCACATGTTACTCATGGCATTTAGCACACATAAATAACACATATAACACACAGAGCACATGTAACACATAGCATTTAGCACACATAAGCATAAATAACACATATAACACACATAGCGCATGTAACACATAGCATTTAGCACACATAAACACAACACATATTACATAACACACAGAGCACATGTAACTCATGGCATTTAGCACACATAAGTAACACATATAACACACAGAGCACATGTAACACATTTAGCACATATAAGCACAAATAACACATATATCACTCATAACACACACAGCATATGTAACACATGACATTTAGCACACATAAATAACACACATAACACACAGAGCACATGTAACACATTTAGCACATATAAGCACAAATAACACATATATCACACATAACACACACAGCATATGTAACACATGGCATTTAGCACACATAAATAACACATATAACACACAGAGCACATATGACACACAGTACATATAACACAAAATAACTGCCCTGGGGAACAGGTTCCCTGTGTTGTGTTTGATCCCCTAGCAATGGGAAGTGAAGCAGCCTCATGGTGCCCCACTGCCAAGGGCAGCATGGTGGGATGCCCAGATCTGTATAAAAGTGGCAGATAGATATTTTGAGTTCTAAATGTGCAACGTATGTGGGGAAAAAAGGCGATGGTGGGGCATGAGGGTACTTCAGCAGGAGCCCTCGGGCCCCTCAGGACTTGGCTGCATGGCAGGGAACACAGGATGCTCCCTCTGGGAAGCCCTTTGCCCACACGGTGGGCATTGTTTGATGTATCTGTGTGTATAAGAGAATCAAGTGGCTGGCAGGACTTCTGAAAGCAACTCACTCTCTGGAATGAAATTCAGATGTAAGCTGTGATTTTTTCCCCCCTATATTTTTTCTTGCCCCTCTCCTCCCCCCTTCCATGGTTTGTCTTAAGGATTAAAGAACCTGAAGGGGAAAAAGGTTCTGCTGTTTATTAGGTTTTGGGTTTTTTATAAAAAACCAAGATGATCAGTACTCTGTAAAACCTGACAGATTAAAGTAATCTTCAGCAGCATTCATGCTGACCATAGTTACTTATCCACACAGTGTTCATTAGGACTGTTAGACAAATTGGAGTATAATACGAAAATGTTTACACCTGACAGAGGTATTGCACCTTCTGAGCACCCAGTCCACCCACAAATATCTGAATACTGATGCTTTCATAGTTGTTTTCTTCTTAGTTCTAACCCAGGGCAAGGCAAGGAAAGTGATTTTCCCAGTAGGAGCAAATGAACTGTTTGGATGTGTTTGTTTCTGTTCATGTCTCTCTTTCTGACTGCAGAAACTGCTGCACAGGCTGTATGAGGAGACGCCTGGATGTTGGGAAGGAGGAACCAGGAGGGGCAGGGACAGTTTAGACATTTTTTTCTGCTGATAAAGATTCCAATGAGTGTGTGAACTCCAGACTGTGTCAGCTCTGTGCTCAGTGAGCTTTCTGGCGGAGTTCCTCAGTGGGGCCAACACAGCTCAGTTCTGCCCACATTATATCCCCTTTTTGTGTTGTTTCTACTTCTCAGCTTCCCTTTTCCCCTCCACCACCATGTGCAAGTTTGCATTTAACTCACTGATTACTCTTGTTTTCTGCTTCTGAGTGCTATATATCATCTTCCATCCCAGAGAAATGATGGTACAAGATTGGATATCCTGGAAATCAAATGCAGGGCTTGGTGCTGGCAGGTCCTTGCTAAGTCAGGAGCTGCTCACTCCATGTTGGACAAGGGCTGCCTCTTCCTTCACAGGAAAACTTGCAGGTACTTGACAAGCACCGTGTGCTAAATTATATCTTGAGCCCATCTTGCTTGGTTAAAGAGGCTGCATTTCTCTCCATGAGCAGCAATATAAAGGTTTAAGGAATTAGTTTATATTTGCATGGAGGCAGCTGTGTGTAAAAACAAGACAGGAGACTCCTCGAGGAAAGGAATACAGGAAACAACATAATCTCTTGTAAAAGCTGTTTATGTGTTAAAAGCACGAGCAGTGGTTCCGTGTTTTCTGTTTAAGATATTTGCATAGAGCTTCCTTCCTTCTTCAGGGTTGTTTCCTGCTGCTGGTTGCTCATATTTTTGGTTCTGTTGTTCAACTCAGTGGAAAGGAACTTTTCCTGTTTCCTGCTTAGGGAAAAGGAACAAGAAAAAAGACCACCTCTAATTTCAAACCTAACAATAATTTTCTGAAAGAAGCAGTGGCTGCAGAAGCTGTCCTCGCTGAGCAGGTGGTGGGCTCTGCCCTGTCCTCCTTGCTGTGCTGGAGCTCAGCACTGCAGCCCATGGTGACTGCAGCCTCTGAAATCACCGAGGAAGGGCAGGAGGGACCAGCAGAGCCCTGCACATTGCTGCTGCCTGAATTAGGGCAGGAGGTTTCCTTCAGACAGGGGCAGGTTCAAATCATGAATACAACTCCTTGACAAGGAGGTGTGGGCTGTGCTTCCTGTGCAGTTGGAGCTCAGCCTTTACTTTCCTCCTGTTTGAGCTTCAGAAGTTCATTGCAGCCTGTCCCTTTATGGTGCTGGGCAGACGAGTAAATTTAAACCTCACCTCTGGGCACTTCAAGCAATTGATGTTGGCATCTTGGACACCTCGAGCCCCGTGGGCAAACACAGGGAGATAAAAGCATCTTTATGCATTTTGGTGTCACGTGTGGGGAAAGCTGCACACTGGGCACTCCTGCAGAGATGATGATGATGGTGATGATGATGATGATGAACATTCCCACTCCCAGCGAGGGGCTGGGGGTGACTCACTCTGGAGGAGGATGGCCCCACAGCCAGGGCAGTGTGGCATGTCCCTGTGGAATATTCTCTGAACACATTTGTCTGTGGGATGAGTGCCAGTCCCCCAGCCTTGCCTGCATCCTCCCCTTTTCCCTGGCTGTGCCTTTAACTGGGTGTAGCCCAGCTCAGCCTGTTTAATGCCCTGTTAGGGTTCCTGCCTTGTCAGCACGGGATTAGCAACTCGAGTTTTGCAATGGCCAGTGATTGTGGAGCTGCTGCTCCTGAAAGGCTGCATGGCTCAGAGAGACAGCATTTATTAAGATATTAAAATTTTAATAGAATAGTTAACTAATAGAATATGTAGCCAGTAAAATGTTTAACCAACTTTATTTTTAACAAACTTTACTTTTAAAGAAAAAAGCTTGACCGATGTCCCATTTGCAAGATGTTTTAATTTTCAAGAACCTTTTAAAAGTGCAGACAGTATGTGGTGGATCTTCACTTTGATCACTTGAGGGGCTCATCTTAAAAGCAACAAGTTTGTTCTTAGGAAGATCTTGTTGAGGAACAAGAAATGCATTTCTATAGTAATTTTAATTTGAAAGTTTTTAAAAAATAGATTTCTAATTCTAGAATTAGAATTCTAGAGAAAATCCAGAAATTGCAGTACAGAGCTGGTGTCAGCCCTGCTGGATTTTCAGGAGTGGTGTTTCCTTGGTTTGTGTCCCTGTCGTGTGCACAAGGTGTCACATTTCCTGTTGCTTGTGTCACTGCAGTGTTGGTGAGTTTTTGTCTTTGACACAAATGTTTTTTCAAGGAACTGGAAAAAGATGGTAAAAGCAGGCCCTAAAAACTGCATTACATGAATCAGTAATTTAAAAAGCCCAGTTTGTGGTTTACTGCTCACTGTAACACAAAACTAAAATTAAGACTGAAGCAAACTTGGAGTGCAGGGTGTGATCAAGCTCTCTGTGTTCCTACACCAAAGCAGAGCTAAAAATCTTTTGTAACCTTTTAGTATATTACTACTTCTTGGTAGACTTCAATTTTAAGCAAATTCTGTTGTGGTACTTTCATTTAAAAGGAACCTAAAAAGGGGGGAAATGTAATTTCAATCTCGCTTTCAGTGTGAAGAATTCGAAACCCCATCTTCCAAGTCCCTCCAAACAGCCTAATTACTATTTGAACACTCCCATGTCAGAAAGAGAAAATGAGAATTTACTGTGAAGGCCAGTGACAGTCACCTGGGGCTCTGCTCTGTGTTTTTATTGATTACCAAGATAAACTGCCAACGT